ACCCTGGTCTCATACAGATGTGCCCCTTACATTCAAACCAAAAACCTGCAGTTCACCAAGGTGAGGAATACAAATAGAAAGGTGGCAGTAAGCTTGGGCTTAATTTCCCCAATTTACGGATTAGAAACTGAAGCTCAAAAGGTTATGTAACTTAAGCAAGGGCCCACAACTTGCAGAAATGAGCTGTTTAAAACCAGGTTTGGCCATCTCCAAAACACACGTGCTTAACCCCAATGCCTTCTGTTTGCTGGTATTTTTAGGGAGCACACATGTGGGACTTTTGCTACCATCTGAAGGCATTTCTAACAAATGGTGCTTTTGTTGTTGCGGCTGCTCAGCAACAACCACACTCACTTTCTCRAGTTTCAGAAGAGCTTTTGGTGACGTCCTGCTGTACACCTGAGCCGAGGCAACTGCCCAAACACCATTGTTCACATTTTCTCTTAGGGAGCATTGTATGATACTGAAACTAGTAGTGAGGGCGCTGGCACACAGTTTTCCTCCATTATTGGAGGATTTATGGTTCTTTGGAAGAAATAAGATAATTGTGGAGCAGAAAATCTGTCTGAATTAAAAGGTCACGGCTCTGAATTTGGTTCTAACTAAATAAATCATGCATTTTTCTCTGAACTGGTTTCCTCCTCTGTAAAATGAAAATGATGATCAGACTTACCCTTCATGTTTATTATTAAGGCTCTTCGTATGTGGGTCCAATCAATTGTTTCTACACAGATAAATAGCTATGACCACCAATATCCTTTCAGAAGAAGCCAGTGGCCTCGGCATTAGGATCTCGGGTTGTTCGGTCTGAAGTAGATGATGGAAAGTTAGCATCCTGGTGCACAGCTGCAGTCTTAACTTCCCCTCCTGCCTTATGTGTCCCTAACCTTCCCTTATTGTCTGGTGGTCTTCTGTGCTGACCTTGCTGCCTCAAGAACAGCCTTCTGTTAATATGTCAAACATTGGAGAAAACAGCAATGAACCACGAACCACTCCTCAGGGAGACCAGACTGCTGTAGGTATTTTGTTAAATTATCATTATGTGGGCAGCCACTAAAAGTGTTTGGAGGGGGATGATACAGTGGTTAAGAGCCAGGGTTCTAAGCTTGGATGTGGATTCAAACCTTGATCCCAACTCTGATTAGGTCAGTCTGATTAGACTCAGGTCCCTCGAGTTTCTGACCATATCCATAAAATGGACATAATCACAGAAACTACCTAATGTACTTCAAATTACTTAATTTGTGTTTCCAAGCACAGGGAGCAGTACACATCAAACATCCCATGCATGTTGACCACAACTATGAAGCAGACCCAGACTCAGAAACACAAGATCACAGAAATGCATAGCAGAGACAAGCACCCATTGGGACACCCAGATCTCACCACAGTCACAATCATCTGTCTCCTCCTTTGTTCCCCGTTCCTGGGTCTCCACTGTTGTCCCCAAGATGAGGTGGAAATCGTGAGTGGGCAGASAGGAGTGATTTAGCCTCTCACAGGTTTGTCAAAGGCAGCCAAGTAGAAAGTGGAATGATAGTTTAATCAAATCCTGCATTTCTAAGATACTAAGTTAGTGAAAAGAAAAAAGGGAAACTGTTTGGCCACATGTATTCAGAGCAGTAAAATCTTTCATATTGCTTGCCTCTTGATGACATAACTTATAATTCGTTCTCCTCTTAGAGTTCATCATTCAATCCAAAAAAGAAGGAAAAACTACCTGTAAGAAGATGTTCATTACATTATCTTTAAACAGCTTTACTGAGAAATAATTCACTCTTTTGAAGTGTACAACTCACTGGGGTTTTTAAAAGTATATTCATAGAATTCTGCAAGCATCACCACTAACTCCAGAACATTTTTGTCACCCCCCAAAAAAAAAAAAAAATTTAGCAAGTACTCCTCAACCTTCCCTCCCCCACTGTGGTCCCAGCAACCTCAAGCTACTTTCTGCTTCTTGAGGTATCATTTTTTTTTCCCATATTTTCATTGGCACATTATAGTTGTACATAATGAATGATGGAATTCATGGTCACATATTCATACATATACAAACTCCCCCGGGGTTTCCCCTTCTCCTCCCCTTTTCTTTCCCCTGCTGGTCTCTTTCCTCTACTCTACTGATCCCCCATTGATTTTCACAGGACCCTCCCCCACCTTTCTTTTTCTTGTGGCTTCATTTTTAATAACCCAGAAAACTGAATGAAATAAGCTCAGTGTTATAGAGCAATACATCATAAGGGTATGTTAGCCAAATTATGGCATATCCATTCAATAAAATATTGTATGGTTATTAGAAATTACTATTGTAAGAATGGGGGATATAGGTCAGTAGAGAATGTGTGCTTAGTATTCAACCCCCCCAAAAAATATTTATATATAAGGAAAAGAAAAAGAACTATAGTAACTGGCAAAATATACTCTATATAATGTTTGAAACTTTTTAAAATACCAAATGATGAAATTAATCTGATCTCAACTGAAGAACAGTCTAGTTTGTATGTGGACAACCTGGAAGGAACTGTAAAAATTTTAAATGGTCATATTAGGATATTTCAAATCACTTTCCTTTAGCTTTTAAATATTTTGTAACTTCTTTTTTTTTAACAAATGCAATTTTTAAAAAACTATTTTAAATTGTTGCTTTAATAAAGGGAACAGCCAGCAGGCAGTCCAGCACCCTCTTCTGACTTGGAAGAGCCCTAAGCTATGAATGTCCCCACCTCTCCCAGACAGCAGAACCCCCCCTCACACAGCAGACATTCAGGCCCACACCTTTTGACCTTTATCTTTTACTCTGTACCTTCTTCCCTCTCCAAACACCTTCCAACAAAGCTCCCTAACTTAGCACACATACCAAAGAGGAAAGCCTGGTCAATTTCCTTCTATTCATATATTAACTGAAGGTCAAAATCCTGATTCCAGCCATATTGGTGGAAACAAAATAACCACTCTCTTCTTCCACTTCCAATGTCTACTGTGTATAGACACACCTCAAGTGGTTACCATCACTCTCTTCCCTCTTCCCATAATGATCTGAGACAAAGGAAATGTTGAAGCTAATACTGCATACATATCCATATTCTCTCTCTCTCTCTCTCTCTCTCTCTCTCTCTCTCTCTCTCTCACACACACACACACACACACACACACACACACACACACCACTGTTGGGTTAAACACTGGTCAGTGTCCAGGAAAGCTTACAGTAAGATAAAGTCTCTAAGGAATGTGATACCTCAGGAAATGGACAGGGGGAAATTGGCCATTTTATCTTCTATCTTTAGGAGAGCATCTGAAGAGAGGATTGTGAAATAAAGGAATGTACTCATAATACATCTGGGGAAACCCACCTGTACAATGGGCTGCAGCCTATCGTGCATATTCCCCTGGCATCCCTCCGTTGCATCACCATGGCTGCTGCTAAGGAGTAAGTTATAAAATGTCCAAAACCTCTCTGTTGAGTCTTCCAAACTCTTTCTTTGGGACTGGAAAACAGTAGGCTGGAACATTTGTAGCCCTKGGGTGAACACTCCACATACCCTCTGCTACAGCAGCCTGGCTAGACCCCCACAACCGTTCCTGGGGGCTCTGGATTATATTTGTGCCCCTCTGTCTCCAGCTKCCCCCTTTATTCCCAGCTAACAGGCAGAAGGAAAAGAGTCCAGTCTTGAGTGGCTCCAGGACATCATAGACTCCAGCCACTCTCCATTTCCCAGCACCTCCCTCACAGAGACTTACTGCCTGACCCAAAGCTAAGGAGTGGCTTTTGGATCCACAGAGTGTCATGAGGCCTCCAGGAAGGTGGCTTCTGATACTGGAATCAACTCTACTGAGCTCATACCTACCCTGTGACAGGAACTGTACTAGTTTCAGGGTTTCAAAGATGACTGAAACTAATAACTCTCCTTAAGGAACAGTGGAAGAAAAGTATTTAACCAGGAAAAGGCCCAGATAAAGGAATAAAAAAATGATGTGGCTATACAGTGCAGACAGGCTCCAAAGCAGGTATCACCCCTAAGTGAATTTTGAAGAATCAAGAGTTAAACAGGCCAAGAAACACACACACACACACACACACACACACACACACACACACCCCTCTGACAGGTTGGCAGGAAAGAGGCAGTGTGCAGCAACAACAGCAGAAGCTAAGCACCCACTCCAAGCCCACACCATGGCTCACTAAGTGCCAAGCACCATGTGGTCCACAAAGGTGAAATAAGAAACAAAATAACCACTCTGGTCAGAAAGACAGGCAGAAAATAAATTACCTAAATAAAAGGCAAACTGCCCAAGGCTGATTAACTTCCAGTGCATTGAAAATAAGAGAAAGGTTAATTCTACTTTGGGTCCTAAGTACAAAGATCACTAGGATGGGGCAGCCGGCTCAACAAGGCTTTGTATGGATAAGTGGAAAGGAAATCCTGGGGATCTTAGGAGGAGGTCAGCCTTGGTAGGAGAGGGGAGGAGGAAGACTGGGCAGGACAAAGGGATTGGAGCAGAAGAGAGGGTGGGGCCAGTGGACTCCGCCTCCTTCCCCCAGCACCCCCGCCCCACCCCCACCCTACACACAGACCAGCTTCCTGCAGTCTATGGAAACAGGTGAGCAGGAACTCCTGAGGCCGCTTGGGGGGCGGGGCTGGGGTTGAGGAATAGGACTGGTGTGTCAGGAGGGGGTCTATAACATTCTGCTATATAAACTTCAGGGAATTGGCAGGCTGGTTTGGGGATTTGGGCTGCTTCAGGATTATTACTGTGAGAGAAAAGTTTTCCCTTGTCCGCTAAACTTGCTGCCCCCGTTCTGACTCTTAGCAGGAAACTTGAAACCCCAGTTTAGTGAGTTGGGGATGGAGTGGTGTCTGGCAGATATGGGGTCAAAGAGGACAAGAGTGATCAGGGCCTTGTCCCCTACCAGGCCTTTGTAAGACTCTTTCTCACATAATTGTGTCCCTGTGGCTCTKCTGTGTCAATGTGTACTTTCTCTCTTTACTAGAGCATGGCTGACTGTGGGGACATTGGAAGATAACCGGGACAGACAGGGTAAGTGATATATCCCTTCTCTTTCCAACTGGATCAGACTGAAAGCCTCTAGCTGGAGAAACAAAGGTTGGAGGTCCAACAGGTGCAATAATGGAGAAAGGCGGGCCTGCCCCATCACCTGGATTCCAGAATCACCTGGATTCCAGAGATGCCGGTGTGCACTGAGGCCGTGGCAGGGTGGCCTGCACTGGATTCTGGATGGTTTATAGGGAAGATGGAAGGGAGACTACAGGTAAGAAGAAAGGAATGCAGGCAGAGCCAAGACACAATAAACTCGCTTGAATGCTGGAAGTCAGAACTCTTGGGCTGGTTTCCTGCCACATGATAACCTAGAGAGAACTGTGGACTTGGAGGGGATCCTGCAGGTCATTATTTGAGAYTGAAGCACATGGAACCCACCCGAGGAATATAATTTGTTTACCTGGTACAGCCATGATCCCAATTTCTAGTTACACACCATAGCTGTGTATCTCTTTGCAGGCATTCTGGGCAGGGCCATGGTGCCAAGCCAATTATGGGGGAGACTGGAGAAACCACTTCTCTCCCTGAGTTGTGCCTCCCTACTCCTGGGGCTGGCTTTACTGAGCATACGGCCAGACATCGCCCCTGTTGCTTATTTTTTTCTCACCTTGGCTGGCTTCTTCTTGTTTGCCTCCCTCCTGGCCTGTCTTCTGGAACGGGGGCTCCGATCAATGCAGACAGAGAGCCCAGAGACCCCAAGCAATGCACGGTGAGTGAAGGTGTGGGTGGATGACAGGAATACACACTGGGACCATCCTTCCTCTACACCTTTAGTCTCTAAGAGACTCTGCTTTCCTCGTTCACTGGTACTAATGAGAGCAGGGGTTAAGGACCAGTAGAGGGGTCTGGATTGCAAACAGGAAAGGGGAAAAGGGGCCCTTTCAGGAAGCCACTAATGACCTTATTTCTTCTCCCTCAGGGACAATGAAGCTTTTGAGGTGCCAACATATGAAGAGGCCATGGTAGTGTTGGAATCAGAGAGCCACCCCCAACAGCTGGATCAACCACCCCCTTACAGCAGTGTTGTAATCCCCMCAGAACTTGATGGGGGACAACCTAGCCAATCAGAAAGGCCCGTGACACATAGACTGGAAAGAAGAGTGGGCTCAGAGGGGGCTATGACCCCAGGAGGAAACCCTGGAAGAGTTCTGATCAGCCTTCGGCTTCGGGGACCGCGGGTCATATCCACTGCTCCTGATCTGCAGAGCTTGAGGGCAACTCCCAAAAGGGAGCCTCTTACTCCACCCCCTGCCTATGATGTCTGCTTTGCTCACCCTGATGATGATAATGTTTTCTATGAAAACAACTGGACACTCCCCTAAGCAACTCTCTCAGGACTTATGGCTCTACATCAGACCCATTCATTCATTTGACCAGCATTTCCCAGCACCCACCATGTGTCAGGAACCGCATTTCTGCCTGGACATCAAAAATGGGGACTTGAATCCAGAGGGGAGTCAGGCTATGGTAAGCCTTTCCCAGTGAAGAAATGGGTAACAGAATTTGAGTCTTCTGGCAACATTTTATRACATACCCCATGCCCAGTATTTCCAGAGTTAAATTAGGGTGAGGTGGTGGGGTAATCCAGAGAAGCTGAGGAAGGAAGTAAAGTAATATCTGAATGACAGATATATTTCCATCTGTTCCAAATGCCTTACTTCTGTTAGCTTTCTCAGGCTTTCAGCCTTATTAAGTATTATTACCCTCACTGAAAAATGGGGTTTCAAGGGTCAGAGGAGTTATAAAACATGCACTAGGACATACAGCTAGTAAATAACATAAAAATAACTTGAATGAACTCCTGATTTCAATGCAAGGCAAGGACCAGGAAGCCAGGCCTTCCACATTTGTCTCAGTCCCTATCGTGGAACAGTTGCTATACAGAGGACTTCATACAAACAGAATGCAGGATCCTTACATCTAATAGGGTGGGCTGGGCAGGATCAGGAGTGACCCAGCTTCCTAKAGGAGTAAGGCTAATCATAGCTCTGATGGTCCCTGCTCCATGTGRGAAGCAGTTACTGTGCCTCTCCCCTACCCAGGAGCTACAGTGCAGTCCCCACGCAGGGTCTTCATCCTGTCTGAAAGCAGTGGAGTAAATTGCCCCAGGTAGACTTCCAAGTTTTGACAATGGATAAAAGTCAGAAAGGTTAACAACGTGTTTCTTGGCAAGGGGTGAAGGGTAGTATCCAAGGAGACTCTCTCCTGAATATCTATCTTGGAGCGCGGGATCACCTGCAGAGTGTCCCCAGCCCCTTCGGCTTCACTCTGACTGACTGCTGGGGTTCTACCCCAGCCCCGTGTCCTGCTTCTTCAGACCCCCAATGTGCTGCGACTGGGATGCTCCTCACTTCCCCCGCAAACCAACATTCGTCGCGGGGGGGTCTTGTCTAGCGCCTTCTAGTGTTCGCCCTCTAATTTCTGCATCCCGCCCCTGGGGGCAACTCCAGTAAAGCGACAAGTCTCACTACCTCGGTCTCCGGAAGTTATTGCAGCAGGCTTGGCAGGGAGGTGGGGAGGAGCCAAAGGAGAAGGCCTTGATTTCCGCGGGAGCCGATGGCCAGTCGGATTCTTCAGTAGGAGGGGCTTCAGCTATTCCCCGCCCCTTCCAGTTCCGCCGGCGCCTGCTCTCTTCCCATTGGACGGCACCACCCCGGCAAGAGTTCTGTGTTGCGCACGCACCATCACGAAGGCGGACCTGCCTGAAGTCGGGGCGGGGCTAGGGGCAGTAGGCGCAGGCGCGATTGCCCTGGAGGTCGGGGGAGGGATGCGGAGGAAGTGGCGGCCCTGGGTTTGTTTGGGTTGTGGGCGGTGCGTGCACAGCCCGGGAAAAGTGGGAAATGGCGGCGCCGAGCGCGGGGTCCCCTCCCGCCCTGCAGCAAAAGGGGCTAATGGCTGCTGACCGGAGGCGCAGGTGAGAGGGGAAGGGGTCAATGGGGCCTTCATGGCGTCCAGGAGAGTGGATCGCGCGGTCCCAGCGTGCAGTCTTGTCGCCCCCTGTTCTTGGAGCCCTAAAAGTAGCCGTGTCCGGGCTAGCTGCCAAGGGTGGGAGGCCCTGAGGAGCCTTCGGGGCCGCTCCGAGCCAAACCCCGCGCAGGGGCGCGCGAGCAGCCCTCTTGGCCTTGCCTTTCGTGGGCAAAGACTGCCCCAGCCTCCCTTTGTCCACCTCTTGAGGGCTCTGCATAAGGATAGCTCTTTGCAGCCCTGCTAGTCTCCATCCTTTCTTCTGGGTGATGAGGAGGAACTAACTGTTCTCTTCTCCTTAAAAACCAATGAGCCTTTCTGCAGACATAAGTGTTCTGCCTGATATACATTTGATTTGGATAGACAGTTTCATGACCTGCATTGCTTTCCATATAATGACCAAGTTTTTAAGAAGAATTCAACATAGGCATTGAAGTTTAAGTACTCTGGGAAGATTGGGAGGCTCCTGAGTCTCAGAGCAAGTCGCCACTTCTGCCTTGATCTTTCCTGTAATGAGACAGATGTAATGAGAAAGATATATTGTAGTGGTCTTGGTCCAAACCAGGACCAGGACTGGGGATTAACCCAGAATTTCGGAATAGGCACCTTCAGAGGCACACAGAATCAAAACTTTAGGACTCCCTTGGTTCTCTGCCCCCACCTTGCAACTGTGTCTTAAAAAAAATTGAAGGTTTGGAAACTTTTGAAAAGTTCACATTGGGAGCAGGTGTGCAGAGCTAGTGGACCACGTTTTCAATAAAAACCGATAAGTTTTTGGTTGAAAATTCAAGTACCAAGTCTGGTACTTGAGGGAAATTGAATAAATTCTGAGAATGGATAAGATTGCCTAGGGAGGAGACTCTTTTTGGGGAGTCCTAATTCAGTATCAACTTTAAGGACAGGCCAAAGGTCTTCCAAAAGAAATAGAAGCATAGTAGGCAGAGAGGACCTAGAGGGAATGGCCCTTGTGAAAACTAACGGAAGAGAAAGTTTTAAAGACTGATCTTTATCTCAAATTCCTTAGGGTTGTTACCAATTGTAAGAGATCTGCTGCTTTGAAAAGAGATCTGTTGCTTATGAAACCACATTTGGAATAGCAGGCGTATTCTAAATATCTCCTCTGTCTTAGGTGCCCACTTGTTCTCTTCTTGGATATCTGAATTCCTCTCAGACTCTGCTTTTCCCTCAAACTATAAATATTTAGTCCAAGTACATCCATTTTATAGATGCATGTTTTCCTTGTAAATTTTATTATTTTTTGAAGTCAGGATGAAGGTTTAATTAACTAGGTTTTAGGTTGTGTGATGGACCTTTTATTCTTTTCTCACTGCCAACAAGCCTTTAATGTTGTGCATTTGAAAACTAAGCAGACCTCTGCATTTACATACAAGGGCACCTAGATAATATATCAGGAATAGGAGTCTTTAATTCATAAGCAGAAGTTGGTCTCTTCCCAAATTGATAGAAACACTAAAAAATCTTTGAAATACAGATATCTCTAATAAATTACCAAAGTAATTTAACCTTGCAGTATAATTTCAAGTGACACTGTTCATCACTACATCTGATAGGATTCTGATCATTTCTAGTGTCATTTTGTCACAGTAACTTAAAGGTTTTAAAAAACTTCGTTTGTGTAAGTAATCTAGAAAGCATGTGACTATTAAATCTGGCCATTGGCTTCAGATTTTGCCTTTGTATTAAATTATTTTATTCCTCACCCAAGGTCATTTTAAACTTACATTACTTTTAGATTAATAATATGAATGTTTTCTGGAACTCTCTTAATATTGGTCTGTCTGACAGAGATATATCCTTTCTCTTAAATATATGTGTGCTTGTAATTGGTATCAAGATATTTTTATCCCACAGTCAGACAATTCATCTCAGATAGCCTCAGTTGAATGTACTCCCCAAAGAATTTTACATTATTCTCTTAGGATTGGTGTACTATTACTGCATCTTTGATTTTACCAAATTCAGTATAATGAGCCTAATCTTTGTTATTGTAAGTCCCCTTTTTGTTTATTTTGTCCATGGCTCTTCCTCTACTCTTTGTCCCAATTTGTACTCGACTGCCTTTTCATTTACTGTTGTCTATAGGATATCAGTGGTTTATGGTATGCATCCTGACCATCAGGAGACTCTGAAAAAGAACCGAGTGGTGCTAGCCAAACAGCTGTTGCTGAGTGAACTATTGGAACATCTCCTGGAGAAGGACATCATCACTCTGGAAATGAGGGAGCTCATCCAGGTATCTGGAGGCAAAAGAGAGGGGCAAGGAGATAAATTAATCTTAGGGGTAGGAATAGAAGATGATAAAATGTGGAAAGCCATAGTGCCTTGCTAAGAATATGCAAGTGCCTTCCTAACTATAGAGAATTTGAAAGAAAAGACATAATGGAAAAGACTTCACCTGTACATAACTTTTTCTGTAAAAGGAATTCTTAAGATGAATGAGGAAACTACTAGAAAGCTTATGTAAAAAATGGGATTATAACTAGATAATTGTGGGGCTGGGGATGTGGCTCAAGTGGTAGCGCGCTCGCCTGGCATGCTTGCGGCCCAGGTTCGATCCTCAGCACCACATACAAACAAAGATGTTATGTCCGCCGAGAACTAAAAAAATAAATAAATATTAAAAAATTCTCTCTCTCTCTCTCCCCCCTCTCTCACTCTCTAAAAAAAAATTAAAAAAAATAACTAGATAATTGTGATTTCATAGTTTGTTCTGGTCTCTCAGGCCAAAGTGGGCAGTTTCAGCCAGAATGTGGAACTCCTCAACTTGCTGCCCAAGAGGGGACCCCAGGCTTTTGATGCTTTCTGTGCAGCACTGAGGGAGACCAAGCAGGGGCACCTGGAGGATCTATTACTCACCACTCTCTCTGGTCTTCAGCATGTACTCCCATCGGTATGGAGCCCTGCACATGTTGAGATTTGGGGAAGGGTTACTCTGGCTGGAAAGGACTTTTTGGGGACAGGGTGGGGAAACTAGATTTTATTTTATTTGGACTGAACCTTCTACCTAAGGCCTATCATGGTGAGTCCTAAAATTTTTTTACAGTTGAGCTGTGACTACGACATGAATCTCCCTTTCCCAGTATGTGAGTCCTGTACCCCTCACAAGCAGCTCCGCCTGTCATCAGGTGAGAATTAATGGGTTAAAAGGAGTCTCACACATCGATTTCTCTTTTTTTGACTAGAGTTTGGCTTTTCCTTAACTAAGACATATTTCATACTGGGAATAATTCCTTCAGTGAATTTGTTAAGGACTAGTAGGATAATTTAAATAGTGCATTAGCTGGGCCCATTTCCCTTCCATCACAGTTAATATTCTTTATGATGATTGGCCTGCTGAGCAACTTATATTGGTAGAAAATTTCTATCCAACTAACTTGTCTTTTCTTTAAAACTGAATGAGAAAAGACTATGTTTGGGGCTACCAACCTACTAATTGTGTAGTCTGGTGGTTAAAAACAGGCATTTATTAGATCACCTTTTCAGATATTAAACAAGTTGAGTACCTACTACTCCTAAGCCCAGTGTAGAGGATCCCCAGTGAGCTGAAGCTAACAGGACCTGTGCCCTTTTGGAGTTTACCAGTCAGGGGAATAAGAGACCAAAATTTATCAAAACCTCAGTTCAGAGGGGTGTCTAATATTATAATTAACTGCTAGAATTGATGTTTGAATTATATACAAGTTTTTTTTTTGCTTTCTTTTTGTATCACAGACACTATGGAACACTCCCTAGATAATGGAGATGGTCCTCCTTGCCTTCAGGTGAAGCCTTGCACTCCTGAGTTTTATCAAACACACTGCCAGTTGGTGAGTCTTGCGTAATGGCAAGAAAGTTGGAAATTAGATACACTTTCATGAGTCTTGGAACCTAGTTTTCATGTGCATTTTCTAACTGCCTTATTAGTCAGAAAGTCATTGCTGGTTGGATGCCTTCTGTGAGTGGGTCTCTTATTCACCTGGTGAAGTTAAGAAGATTATGTCTTTGGGAGTGGGGGATCCCTAATCTAGTGAGGGTATCATAGTTCCTGTCATTAAGAAGCTCATGGTCTAACTTGCCCCCACTCCCCAGGCCTACAGGTTGCAGTCTCGGCCTCGTGGCCTGGCATTGGTGCTGAGTAATGTGCTCTTCACTGGAGAGAAAGAACTGGAATTTCGCTCTGGAGGGGATGTGGACCACAGTACTCTAGTCACCCTCTTCAAACATTTGGGCTACAGTGTCCATGTCCTGCATGACCAGACTGCACAGGTACCTAAGACTGGCATGTAAATCAGATGACTGGGCAACAYGTGGGGGCCAGACAAGTCTGCTGCCTTTGTGCCTGCGAGGATGTGTCTTAGAGGTTATGTACTCACAGCGTCACTACTGTTGTGCTCTTCACTTTGCAATCTAGTAAAAAAGAATTAGAACCATCCAGCTCTATCAGTGTTGACATCTCAGAGTAGCTGTGCTTTCATGGAGTAATAATAGTCCAGGGTTAGGTTCTCACTTTTACATGTTCAGAAACTTGATTCCCAGCCTCTCAGGAAGTGATGAGATACTGGGATTCACCCTAACTAACTCAGAAAAGATATTTATAAACTGGGACTATGCAGGACATTTATTCTTGCTTGATATCACTGCTTAGGAGCTTAATTATTTGTTAAATGATTACTTTAGAAGGTATAATTCTTTCAAATCATATTCCCCATATGTTATGGGGTTATGGCCCCAAGTCCTTTTGTGGGTAGATTGCTTCCAACTAGCTTCTCAGACCATAAGCAGTTTCATTGGGTTTATTCCTCATTAACCTCAGTGACCAAGCTGCACCACTACTGATTTCATTGCCTTTAGAATTTCTCTTGAAATTAACAGTCACTTATATACAAGTTTATTATGAACTATTTTGATTCCATAATAATACTTCCTTAAACTTGCCTTTGGGGTTGTTAGTGGTGACATTAAAATTTCTAGGRGATTCACTTTGTCCTGTTGAGGCAAAGAATCTTGGTTTTGTGATTAGCAYTTGTTCTGTGTCCTTTGTTTGTTCCCCAGCTGTCCTGCTTCTGTGGGAATAGTTATGCATCTGCTGTCACTTGGCTGTGGCCATTTTCGTCAGTGGGTACCTGGGTGTTGTCCTCTGGTGTTTTTGCCAGCTTCCCCATAAGAGCCAAGCAGAACAGCATCTTCGGTTGTCTTGTACTGAAGTAGGTCACACACTTGCCAGAGAGGCCTGCTGGCCATGCAGGGACAAGGGTAGCCTGTGTACCAGTCACTACAGAGGGAGCCCTGTGACAAGGTCACTGACACAAAATGTACACTGTGTATGTTTCCTCAGAGGTTTTGGTTCAGCCATTCATTTCACTAGGAGCCTATTATGTGATGGTTTTCTAAATCATACACAACTGATAAAGGATTTTATATGCATAATAGTTAAAGATAATACTGAGTCACCAAATCAGCTGTTTACTGCTGTATTTTGATACATTCAGTAGATTTAATAAATGCCATTTCATTTATGGCAAACCTGATGCAGATTCAAGGACCTATTGAATTCTCATTCTCTGGGAACAGTGTTCTATAACTAGAGTTGCAATGAGGCTTAATTTTGAGCACCTTATAATGGGGGACTATTAGCTATCAGAAATTTTTAAAATGTGGGCCTTGAATTCAAGGGACTTGAGATTAAGGAGTCTTTATGTCATCTAAAAAGGAAATTCATCCCTTTATATTCCTAAAGACCAAACAGGATTAGAGACACCATTTTCTGTAGGAGCAAAGAGGAAGAACCCCCTGGGAAGATGTGGTCTGAAGGATAAATGAGGCAGGTGAGACTTAAGGAGGCTACTAAGGCAGAGGAGAGTGGTGGCATCTAGGCAGGGAGAAGAATGTGTAGGCAAGAGCTGCGTGAGTCATAAACTAGGTGATCACCATTGGTGTCATAATTTGATGCACTGGGCATCTGCCCGGCATGCTACTTGCTGGTAAACCTCTCAAGAGACTACTCTTGTGTAATTATTCAGCACCAAAAAACATTAAGGTCTTCTTTTTCGCCTGTCAGACATTTTTTACTTTAAATTCCATTAGAAAACAGGGAMTAATACAGTTAATCATAGTGAACACTCTTCTGTTGATCGTGCCAAAGAGAACACCAGAACTCTCTCCGCCCAGGTTTATTTYCAGTATCTCTTTGCATTGTTGCATCTACTTTGTACCTCAGGAGGTTGCTAGACCTAATGCGGACATTAAGAAATGGAGATACATTTTGAAGTGGCAAAGTTCCTTTTCTAATGTCGTCTAACTTACATTCCAATCACAGACTGCTTTGAGAATGTAGGGACAGGCTGGATCATCCCTGGAAAATGCAGTCATCCTTACAATTTTGTGTGTRATTTCAGAGGATTCACAGGTTCTTTTCATTTGTCTCCCAACCCCCAGCCAAAACACACCCAAGAGCTAAGAACCCTGCTATTTATAGAAGTACTGCAGAAATAAATCTACAGATCCTATTTTAAGCTATTCTACTTGTGGAAAAATTCCTCCAAATAACTAATCTGCATTTGTTGAATAGTTTAATCTTATTAAGTTTAGCTTCAAAGTATGTATGTTCTTACTTTGGGTTTTGTTATACTCTATTTACTGGCCTAATAATTTTATGAAGTTGAAAATATTTATGACTAGATGCCCAGGTATATATTTTATTCCATTCTTCAAGCAAAAGTAACTTCTTAACTATTACATGTTCAGTTTTACTAGTGGTCAACTCTAAAGGAACATTCACRAGCATGTTATCTCTTGAAATTATGTGTTTCATAAACAAATTAATTTTGGATCTTTTATTAATTTAAGATTTCCATTATAGTTGGCTTCTATTTACCCCAAAGATAGAAAAATAGTTGTTTTTTTTAAAAGGTTGTCTGTTTCAAGTTATATTGCCATGCATTTTAACTCTTTTATATTATATTTCAATTATATGCAAACAGAAGTATTATTCCAAACAAATAGATCAGTACATCTCAAACTTATAGCATCAGGATCAGCTGGAGGGCTTGTTAACTGTTTGCAGCAGAAACTTTCTCACAAGTTCCTATCTGATGTTGCTATTGCTGCTTTAGGGATCACACTTTGGGAACCAGTAAAATATGTTGTACTAATGTGGTCTTTATGGGATGGGTGGATGGTAAATATATATGGGAAATAACTGTTCTGCCTAGAATAGCATATTTTCATTAAATTTCCTTCAAATTCATAATCAAATGAATTTGTTTTCTCTCTGCTTATCTCAGGTACGAGAGAAGACCCAGAGAGACATAGGTTTGAAAATTATTATAATGTAAGACAATATATAACTCTCTGGTGGATGAACCAAATGTTTAAGTTAGTGATTTTCCTGTAGGCATTTGTGCAAGATAAACAAGATCTTCATTCAAACTACAAGATTGATCCATAATAGGTTTTTTTTTAAAGTAACATGATTACTCTATTAGACATGCGTGTTATAATGACAGACACAGTGATTGATTCCTTTCTGTGCAATAGCTCATTTAATCTTCACAAACTAAGAACATTTGCTTGTAATTATTTTCCTATTATGTGGAAATTGGAGCCTCAAGAGGCTAACCRTTGTTCTAATCTACGGACCCTGGTTCACTCCTAGGTGACTAACATCGGAATTCACGTATGTAGTCTGCCCTGTGTGGAATCGTCCATCACAGTGTGCTTTCCTTAAGCAAAATGTTTTATGCAGACGTTGTCATCGTCTCTTGGATATTTATAGTCCCTGACAGAAAGAAGCATATAAATTCTGCTGTGCTTTCTGTCATGATGATATTAACCCTGTCACAGARCAATGTTTTTTACCTGTAGCTGAATAATGGTCCCCCTTGTGTCATTTGTAAGGTCATTTGTTCAAATGAAGGATCTGGTTCATTGTCAGGGAACAAATTACAGTTGACCAGCTCAGGAATAGCTTCATTAGGGACTTGCTTTAGTCTAGGAGTTTGTAACCTTTCCCAGTGAGTCTGTGAATCTATATGCAGAGTTTTGTGTCTGAATTCTTGTGCATTTTTCTGGCAAGTGCATAGYTTTCTTTAGCCTCTCAAAGGGTTGACTTATCATTTGCTACAGGGATATACAGAAAACATTTTATCTTTAATAGCTTAGGGTTTCAAACAGAAACTAGAGATTGGTATTTATATTGGTGCTGATGTCAGTAAACAAGTCTGAAAGGTGTTTTTCTTCTAGGAAATGCAAGAGAAACTCCAGAATTTTGCACAGTTACCTGCACACCGTGTCACAGACTCCTGCATAGTGGCACTCCTTTCACATGGTGTGGAGGGCAGCATCTATGGTGTGGATGGCAAACTGCTGCAGGTGCGTGTAATSTAGGGGAAGCTGACAGTTGGACCTAAGCTGTGTCACTTCCCTCCTGCCCTCCTTTATAGCAGCAGTTACTGTTGTATGTGTAGGACTTCCGGAGTCCTTATTGACAACTTATCCTCTCTTTTCCTTTATTTCTCTCCGCAGCTCCAAGAGGTTTTTCGGCTCTTTGACAACGCTAACTGTCCAAGCCTACAGAACAAGCCGAAAATGTTCTTCATCCAGGCCTGCCGTGGAGGTGAGTGCCCTGGCAGACCGGCACCTGGGTGATGGCTCCTGGGCAGCCTCCACCAGCTCTCACTTTCCTGTTTGCTCCTCTCAGGTGCTATTGGATCCCTTGGGCACCTCCTTCTGTTCACTGCTGCCACCGCCTCTCTTGCTCTGTAAGTGTCTCCCAATGCATGGGGTGTGCTGGGACTTGGGCAGCCCCTGGCTCTCAGGCTGGTCAGTTCTCTGTGCACCACCATAGCCTGTTCTCAGAGTTCTCTTGTCAGTGTCTTCGCCCCTTTTTCTGAGAACTTGTACTCTTTTCTGTGCTTATTAACTCTGATACACTTTTTGTTGTTACTCATTCCAGTTAAGGATTTTCTGTCTCTCTCTTCACATTTTATCTCCTTCCTCTTTTCTCTTTCCTTCTGTCTTCCCCCTTGTACTTCTCTGTTCACCTATACTTCCATTCTTGCTTCCTTTTTATCATTCATGGACCACACAGGATAACAATACAGACTCCATTTCAACCTTGGACTTTCCTGAGCTGCTTCTGTCCCTCTTTTTTTTTTCCTGCAGTCTGTTCTACCCCTTTAAGAGGCAGGCCTGCATGACAAGGCTCAGAAGACACAACAGGCCTGCTTCTCACCCTGGAGGAAAACAGTAGTAATTAAGAGTTCTAAATTTGGAGTCAAATTCTGACTCTGCTGCTTAGTAATTATTTGAAGTTAAAGAAGTTACTTGACATTCCTTCGCCTCAGTTTTCTTTAAATAAAATGTAGGCAGTTATACCTATTTCATRAGGTGGTTGTGATGATTAGATAGAATAGTGCATGGAAAAGCGAGTTTACACAGTACCTGATGTAGGGTAAATCTACAAAGCTAGCTGTGACTGTTAGAATGTGGTCACTGCCCTCAAGGGGCTTATAGTTTGGGATGAAGTCCATTTTGTCCAACCATTCACATTTTGAAGCTGTTATATAATAGCTAACATTGTTTTCCTAATCTGATATCACCAAAGATGTAGTTTACTGAGGCCCTACAACATGACTAATACTACACCGGATACTATCACAGAAGCAAAAGAGGATGTGKCCTCACTTTAGAGCCTAGCAGTTACTTTGGAAACTAAAGCAAATATACACGTAGTAGCTTGAGACTAGTTCTCAAGCATGAGCAAAATTAGAAACCACACATATGAGGAAATACTTAGTAAGAATACATCATTTTAAGTGCAGTTAGTATGAAAAGACTTTTGTGGCTAGGGTAAGGCTTAATTTGGATCCAGGATATATGATTYACATAGGTAAATCTTTGGTAAAGTCTTTGGAGAGTTTTTCCRAGGGAAAGGAACAGTATAATGTGACAAGCACCTGAGAGTAAAAGGACACATTCCCCCTAACCCCAGTTGTGGGATCCAGTTAAAAAGCTGACATTTCCTGTGGTGTGTATGATCACAGGAAGTGGGTCCAGCTGATTACAAACTTTTACTCACAGTTGAGATTTTGAACTTCAACAGATGACAGTATGGAGCTGTTGGGAGCTTAAGAAAGAAATAATATGTTGAGTTTCCCCCAGGAAGGTCACCATGTGAGGGAGCTGCTCTAAGAGCATATGAGAACACAAACCTAGTTTTGCATTAACTGTGCTTTTCCCAAGTCCAGARCACTGCCTGCCCCTGGTGGCACTTACAAATGTTGATGAATGAATGAAAATTTACCTGCCTAAGAAATTGTAGCAATAATATAGAAAACATTAGGAGATGTTGTAAAGAAAGAACCAGTAGCATTTACTGAGTGATAGATCTATGATGTGAAGGCAAAAAAGGAGTTCCCTGTCTCTTGAAGGACATACTTATCTTGGCCCATTTCCTTTAGGAGTCATAACCAGCAAAGTGAAATAAATATGACATTAGTGGTCATTTTCTTCTGAATTCAGAGATGAATACAGAACTGAATCTGGATAGGGCAATTGCTCTTTCCTGGGGTAATCTGAATCTTTGCTCCTCCTCTTCCTCTTGTCTCTCAAAACTGTATTCATTAAAGGATGAACAGTAGTTGATTATTCCTTTGAAAATTTGAGCTATCTTTCTGCTACATTTGATAATATAATTAATGTCTATGAAAGTATGACCCCTGCCAAGTTGACTAACATCTCAATTGAAGTGGAAGTTTCATAAGGTGACTTTTCCTTTACCATATCCTTAGGGCTTCATATAAAACAGCATCTGATAAATGGCCGTTGCTCAGTGACCTATTATTGAATCAATGAATCTTGGTCCTTTTTTCCACAATTTTTCACCAGGCTCTTGAATGTTGCATGGAGCAGGAAATACTATGAAAGAGCACACACCTCTGCTATTGACCTGTGGTCTTCCCTGTCTCCCTTTCTACCAACAGGACTCCTGCCTCCTCCCAAATGAAACAGCAATATTGAAAATAAGAATCTGTCTTGGGATACATAAGCTCTAAGTCAAGAGTTTGGGCATGTGCTCAGTGATGCTATGACACTACCACTGAGCTTGAATAATGGTGTTCTTTTTTCAGTTTTGAGGGAAAAAAATAAATTATTCCTATTTTAATTTCTTCCTTTTTAAAATTTCTCTTAAATCTTAGATGCCTGCTATAATTTATCTTRTAAAATTAAACAAGTAGTAAGTGCTTTAAAGCTATCAAAATCACCATGGGAACTACTGATCATGATTAGTTTTATAGCTTATTTCACCGATAATATAAGTTAAAGTTATGATTTTTATATAGCATTTTTTGGTTTTTGCTTATGTAATAAAACTGAGTGTGTCAATATTCTATTGCTTTTTACAGTCAAAGCACTGTGACTTCTAGGTATTTTTCCAATTGAACTTAGATGATTTTTTTTGTCTCGCTGTGTATATATGCATGTGTTTGAGTGCAGTGCCTGGCCTAGTAGGCACCCCCTGGATAATGAGGCATGCTGGGAAAGTAATAACTTCTGTTTTTAAATTCATCTATCATAGGTTGGAGACAACAGCTGGAGATGACTCTTCCCATTCAAGGTTATAGGGAACTGGGCTTACCTGTGACAGGCTGCTAGAGATGGGAGAAAGTAACATCTTTGTTCATTTTGTGTGCCTTTCTACAGACGAGACTGATCGCGGTGTTGACCAGCAGGATGGAAAGAAGCCCGGGTGTGAGGAGAGTGATGCTGGGAAGGAGGAGATGCTGAAGATGAGACTGCCCACTCGCTCTGACATGATTTGTGGCTATGCCTGCCTCAAAGGTATTTGGAATTCCAGTAGGTAACCCAGAAGATATACTCTGGGCTTGAGTTTTTCATACTGCAGGATACAAGATACCATGGAAGTCACCTGTATTGGGGAGGATTCCCCATGACCTTCATGCCTTGTGGTTGCAGGCACTGCTGCCATGCGGAATACCAAACGGGGTTCCTGGTATATTGAGGCACTCGCTCAGGTGTTCTCTGAGAGGGCTTGTGACATGCATGTGGCCGACATGCTGGTTAAGGTAAGTCAGCATGGGCTGGCTCCATAAGCCCTTGCATCTCCGTAGCATTCTCCCTTCCTCTTCCTTGCACCACTTCTCTTAGGCTCTCTTCTCTTGTGTTGGACTGCTGTCGTGAAAGCACAAGCTGATCTCAGTCTCTGGACCACTCGCTCTGCCTTTCCAGGTAAATGCCCTCATCAAGGAGCGTGAAGGCTACGCCCCTGGCACAGAGTTCCACCGATGCAAGGAGATGTCTGAGTACTGCAGCACTCTGTGCCGTCACCTCTACCTGTTCCCAGGATACCCTCCCACGTGATGCCACCTCCCCATCGTCCATGCTGTTGGCGGCCACTGGACCACCAGAGGCACGATAGAGCCTTTTTTCTTCCAGATGCAGTTTCTGTTCTGCCCCCTCAGGGATATGGGGACCCCCCAGGCTTGTTTCCAGTGCCCATCATCTCCGCCTTTGTGTGTGGGACTCCAGGCCAGCTCCTCTTGTGTGAAGCTCTCCCTGTGGAGCCGGCTCTGGCTGAACTTGTTGCCAGGAATGTTTTGGCTRCAATCAAAGAGCCTGGCAGGCAGTGCTATGAACAGTACCATTGTGGGGGAGGGCATGCAGGTTTCTTAGTGTTTGTTACTTCGGCCCCCAGGGCTTCTGTGGGGCACTTTGGTCGTCACTCTTATTACAGTAGTAATGATGTCTCAGAGATGGTCTCATATCTGTTCTGTGTTCCATTTCCCAACACCGTTTGTCCCAGAGAGAGTTTGGAGGGTGTCCTAAGTTAACATAGGCATTTTCATTTGGCTTTGAAAAGGTAGATGTGACTGAAAGACACACCCTCTACTGTGAGCAGAAGTGCCTGTACATTCCCTTCAGGACCGCGGGTCCCTGTGGACAGCAGTCTTCTCACTTCGCCCTTTGGGCTGCAGGAAGCCAGCCTTTCATCAGCAGTTGGGTCTGCATGCTTTGCTCCTGGGAGTGTTAAAGAACTTCCTTGGGCCTTCTTTCCCCGAGCGGTTACTGAAGTGAGTGTGTGGGGAGAGTGGGCAAAAGGCCAGGAGGGTGGTGTTCTCCTCACACTGACCTGCCATGTGTCTGCTTTCTCTCTCCTCCGAGATGTCCCTTCCTCTCCCATAGTCTTCTCGTGTCCGAGCAGTCAAAGGGAACCTCACATCTGGATTTCTGGAATAGCTTCCCACTGTTGTCTGCCTCCTTCATGTCTCTTCCTTTCACTGCGTTTCCTTCTGTTCAGTTCTGCCATGTCAGTGGGTGGTGCCCTTTTACTGGGTCCTTTGGCTCCTGCACTCTGCTTCTTTGTCAGACTTGTTTCGATTTTATGTGGTCTTCTCTCCCCTCCCATTCTATTTCAGTGAGGATATTACCACACACATTATTATTCTTTCAAACCTAGAAACTTTATTTCTGCTTCTATGAAACCTTCCTGTTCTTAAGGCATTCTTTTCCATTTCCATTTTACCCCCTCCAGTCTATTCTTCACATAACAGAATGGTTTGGGGTTTTTTGTTTGTTCATTATGTTTTGGGGGACATTATTTTAGTTTTTAGTTTCTTGGTATTAGAGATTGAACTCAGGGACACTGTATCACTGAGCTGCATCTCTAGCCCTTTTTATTATTGGGGGGGGGGGACAGGGTTTTGGTAAGTTACTTAGTGTTTTTCTAGGTTCCTGAGGCTGCCTGGAACTTTTGATCCTCCTGCCTCAGCTTCGTAAGTCACTGGGATGATAAGCATGTTCCATTGCCTGGCCACTTTTTGTTTTTTAAATATAAATCTGATGATGTCATTCTCCTGCTTGGAACTCTTTGGCTTCCTGTTACACCTCATAAAATTCAAACTCCTTACCCTGGTTTGTGAGATATGGCCCTTGTCTTCCACTTGAACCTTAYTAAGTAGTGGCTTCTCACTATGCTCTAACCCCGTGGCCTCTTAGTGTCTCAGCTGTTCTAAGCTCTCTATCCCAATGCTCTTGCCTGGGATAGCATCTTATTCTTCGAGTTTCATGGAGGCCTTCCCAACCTGTGGTCTATAAACAGTCTTCTCTGTTTATTACTGCTTTCTGTTTAATTCTTCTTCTTTGGTTCTGGGGATTGAACCTAGGGGCATGCTTCCATTGAGCTGCATCCTCTAGTCCTTTTTATTTTTTGAGAAGAGGTTTTGCCACATTGTTGATTCTGGTCTTGAACTTTTGATCCTCCTGCCTCAGCCTTCCAAGAACCTGCAATTACGGTGTCCACCACCTTGTCCAGCTCGTTTCATTCTTTACTTGCACTTATTGCAACTTGTAATTACATATTTGTTTGTTTTACTTGTTTGTTTTTATATCTCCTACTAGGCTATAAGCTCCAAGAGGGCAGGAACCCTGGCTCTCTTACCTGTATGGACCCAGTGCTTGGCGCTTACTAAATCTTCAGTAAATGTTCGTTGAATGAAGAAAGGAGGCCAGCAGCCAACCCTTTCTAGAATCCTACTTTTTGACAAAATTTCCCTTTTGACATTATACAATTGAGTATTTGTACTTGTGTTTTTCCAGGTGTTCTGTTTTTGTCCACTGGTATTTTTAGCTCCTTGAAGACATACCATCTGTGAGACAGCTTCTTTCACATCCTGCATGGTGCCTAGCAGAATGCACACATGCAATAGTCAAGGTGCTCAATAAACATTTGTTGTTCAAGCGGGTGGCTTGAAGACTTGCTCCCTTTGGGTCAGTGTAGGTTGGGCGTATTTGAGTGATATAGCCTTTCCACTTCCCACTGCCAAGATTTGTATTGCCATGAGGTGCCAAATAAATGTTCATATTTGTTACTGTTGCCTGCCTGGTGTCTGTTTCTGTAGATGCTCAGTTTTCAGAGCCAYGTGTCTTCATTTTCTTGGGCCTTGTCCTGCGTCGTTCCTTGCCACCTCACGAGGCATACCTAGAACTGAAGACCCCTTATTTTGCTGCCCCTCTTTCTCATACGTTGACATAGCCCTGGGTTTGATTTCTCATGTTCAGATGAGTCTTTACCAAGCAGTGTTGGTTCTAGCTTATTTAATTATGGGATGGAGGCTGGAGTGACAGACTGGAATAGGAGGATAGGAGAGAAGGAATAGTAGTACTCCATTTCTCACATGGGCCAAGTGAGGTTTAAGGTGAGCAGAGATTGTATCAGACTTAGGGCTGGGCATGGTGGCACAAGGTGGCAGAAGGATCTCGGGTTCAAAGCTAGCCTCGGCAAAGGCGAGGCACTTAGCARCTCACTAAGAYCCCGTCTCTAAATAAAATTCAAAATAAGGCTGGGGATGTGGCTCAGTGGTTGAGTGCCTCCGAGTTCAATTCCTGGTACMAAAAAAAAGAATTCTAGGGCAGCATGGAAGCACTGGATTCTGAGTTATGCTCTTGGGGTATATGTCTAGAGACAAATGTGCAGGTACAGGTGGGCTTCAGAGGTTTAGCAAGAGATTAAAAATTCTGTAGGAGCATTTGGGTGGGAAATAGCTGTGGGACTTGGGGAAAGTTGCTGAGGAGTACAGAGTGGATGGGGGTGGGGCAATTGTCTAAGAAGAGGGAAAGGGCATAGTTAAGCTGAAGCATGTCACCAAACAGGGGATCCAGTGTGAAAGAATACCAGGGGCAAAGAGCACAAAAAATGGACTGAAACCAGTTGGTCACACTGTCAGGGATACAAGAATCTAGGAAACTTTAAGGAATTGCAGGGATCATGGGAGTAAGAACCCATTTTCAAGACGGGAAAGCTTGGGAATTACAGAACAGTGTTTGCTGAGCAGAAGTTCCTGTCCTTGCCACCTGCCCTTGAATCAGGGCATCAGGTTGAATTTCACAACTCAATTCCCTTCCCCCACTTACCTCTGCCAGGGGATTCTCTTCTAAAATTATCCCCCTCCCTGAGCTGGGGGCTGCCCTCTGCCGCCCTTCCCCATCCTGTTTTCACAAACGGAAAAGGAAAACAGGAAGAAATGAAACAAATGATAGACCAGACCAGAGCTGCAATCCTAAGAGGAGGGAGAGCTGTCTGAAGACAGGAGAGTGGCTACTGGGGATGGAGTGCAGGGCCTAGGGAGGCACTGAGCAAGGAGTTTTCCTCCTCCCCAGGTCCCACAGGGAGTCGTCTTCCCACTGTTTTTTTGGTTTGGTTTGTTCAGAAGGAAAACAAGGCCCAGAGATTCAATTATCATTTATCATAAATGAAATGTAGCATTAAGAACTTGGAATCTAGAACTTTCTAGGTATGATTTTCAAATCTGGCCCTGCCTTTGAAGATACTAGAAACCTTGGCCAAGATAATTTACATTGAACCTCAGTTGTCCTTACCTAAAAATGAGGAAAAGTTCTCTGTCTTCAAAGGCCCCAATGAGGATTAAATGTGATGCAGGAAAAAGATTATCATATTTAGAAAGCCAGAAGAGGGAGAAAGAGGCCTGCTGATTACTACAGGGAAATCCTAATCTGCTGGGAATAGACAGAAAAAGACCAAGGATTTTTCACCCTGTGCTGGGACTTGAACCCAGAACTCGGCCCCTTAAACTGCTGGACAAGCTTTCTATCATAATGACAGCTACATCCCCAGCCTAGGATCAAGGAGTCCTGAAAGAGCAAAGCCCAATAAGGAGTAGAGGAGAAATGAGCACCCGTGGGGTCTTCTACAAAGAGAAAGTGTCTCAGAGGTAGTTGTAGTTGCTTTGCTGAAATTTAGAAAGCGGGGCATGAATGCTGTGCTGCCAGCCATGCAGAGGGAAAGTGACGCCTGAAAACACGATGACTGWCGGATTTATTTCCCCATCAGCTGGGGAGGCTGGACTTGGAGTTGGAAAATAAGAAAAACTCAGAAAATCCATACCTAAATTCCAAGGGAGATGCATAGGACTATCCTATACAAGCACCTTTACCYGCCAAACAAACCTCCCTCCCACTTATGCCCCCTGTGGCCACTCCGTATAACTTCCTTCAAACAGCAGTTCCATCAGCCGGCAGGTTTGCTCTTGATTCTCCTAATACAAGAATCTGGTTCTTGGAGTGGCAGTYTGCTTTCCTTCAGGACTACATGTTTCCACTTGGCAGGTGTGAGCACTTTCCTGACCCCCTCTGGTCTCTGCCTCCAAGTCTGAGAATCGAGATCAGGCTGAGTTTCTCAGGGGCAGGAAGGAAATAGCAATTGCATCTGATAGTTGTATCAGTTTTGTACAAAAACCAATTACCTTTAAAAGAGCCAGACCTCACAAACAAGTGAAAAATCTTTTCTGTTTCTGAAGGCCTCCAACAATATAATGTCATTTTTCACTCTATTTTCTTTGTTGAGGAAGCACTCCTTTCATTTYGCACCAGTTCCTTAGAGCTTGCCTTATCTACTGTCTGCAGTAAGAGCAGGTAGCCTCACAGAACCTTTAGTCCCTCAAACAATCACAAACATTTGTCATTCTCGAAGGGTGGATGATAGGTCTGAGGATTTATGGGACTAATGRTAGAAAAGATGAGATTTTTTTCAAATTTTATTGGTATATAATTGGCAAATACAGATTTTACATATTTATGGCATACAACTTGATGTATTGGTATACGTATACATTGTGAAGTGATCACTATAATCAAGGTAGTTAACCATCATCTCAAAATTACTCGGGAGTGTGTGTACATGTGTGTGTGTGTGTGTGTGTGTGTGTGTGTGTGTGTGTGTTGAGCATATTTCAGACACTTAGTATAGTATTGTTAATTATACTCACCACACACATTAAATCTCCAGAACTCATTTGATAACTGAAACCTTACATCCTTTGACCCCAGGACCTATACCCCTAGCCCAGCCCCTGCTCTCTGCTTCTGTGAGTTCCACTGCTTTAGATTCCCCCCATGAGTGAGATCATGAAGTATTTGTCTCTCTGTTTCTGGCATATTTTACTTAGCATGATGTCCTCTTGATCCATCATTTGTCTCTCTGTTTCTGGCATATTTTACWTAGCATGATGTCCTCTTGATCCATCCAAGTTGTCACAAATGACAGAGTTACCTTCTTTTTAAGGCTGAATAATAGTCCATTGTATATGCACATCACATTCATCTGTTGATCTGTTGTTTCTATATCTTGGCTGTAGTGAACAGTCCTGCATTGAACAAGAGAGTGTTGATATCTCTTAGAGTGATTAATTTGTCTCTGGGCAGATACCTAGAAGTGGGACTGCTAGATAATATGGTATTTCTATTTTTAATTTTTTRAGGAATTTCCATACTATTTTCCATAAGTATTGTACCAGTTTAGATTCACACCCAAGTCCACAATAGTTCCCTATTCTTTGCATACTCTCCAACACTTTTTGATAGTAGCCATCCTAAAAGGTGATATCTCATGGTTTTGATTTCATTTCTCTGAATGTTAGAAATGTTGAGCACCTGGAAAAGGTACTTTTAATGGTATCCATCTTGTTTGGGTGATTCCATTTAGTTTAGGTCAAAATTAAACATTGTAGGCTAGACTTTTGGTGTCCCTACCTTCTGGTCCTTGAATTTGAATGGATCCTAAATTTTGCCTCAGTTTATAGCTTTCGTCTATAATGAGATCATTGGGAA